CCCCCCCGCCCAAAACAAAACAGCATGAAAGGAAAACTTCTTCCTATAGGCAGCAATCAAAAGACAAGACTGATTTAAGGGGTCATTCGTTGGTAGCCTTAAAGAATTTCAGCTGTCAAAATATATGCAAGGTCACATTTGGTTCTTATTGTTCTTTTTTTCTTAACGTGAGAATTTCACACTATTAACAGCACACAGGCCTGGCTGTGTTTTTAACTTTTACCTTTCCCCACAGGATACTCAGCTTGGTGGATAAATGACTTACAGTGCACAGCAAGAGATTTCACATGAATAAAACAAACTCACACATGACTGCAAGATGATTTAAACGACCCTACTTCGAGCAGTGGAAAGAGACTTTTCCTTTTGTCCTCAAATCAGCATTTTCTTTTTCAAGTCAGGTGTTAGCCTTTTGCCAACATTTTGTTCTTGATGGTAAATGTGTTAATGAAAGGCTTCAAGCAATATCATTTTACAATGCTGCCGAGTGCACACGAGCCATCTTGACCAAGAATCAGTCTGTCCTGGCAAATTCTTCCAAATGACATCATAATTTTGTCACACTGAAAGCAGCTCACAGCCCTCAGAGAGAGAAGAGGCCAGGCCAGCCCAGAGGCCTGGGGGTGCTCAAAGGAAGGGCGGAAAGAAATCTTTATTGCTATACGCACCATACATCAAAGGAAAGCCAAAAGAACTTCTGTGTGTCATGTTCCTCGTGAAGGTCTTTTAAAGCAAGAAATGCTCAAAAAAAAAAACCAAAAAAAAAAAAAAACCTCTTTAAAAACATTATGATACAACTTACCAGCGTGTTCAAGGGCAGGAGTCTGCTCTCTCATATGAGCCGGTAAGAGCTTTGCAATGCAGTTTATTTTCTAAATAGCATTCTCCTCTTCGAAAGAACAAGAACACAACAAAAAAACAAGGCCTGGCCAATCACTCCCACAGCCTGTGGGGATCATACGTCCATGGAACCAACACATGCAATGGAAGAAACCCCCAACCCATGTGTATATAAACAAATATAGCCTCTACACACATCCATGTAAACCATGAAAATTAAGGAAGTTGAAGGCAAACAAGGCAATTAAAAAAAAACCATGAAGTACTCTTCAGAAAGTACTCCTAATAATGATATATAAATATGTTTTATGGAAAAGGAGGGGAAAAACCTGGCATTTTTCAGAATTCTGCAGAAGCCAAAGGGGACTATGAGGTGAGGGATTCAGCTCAGGCGAAAACACAAAGGCACAAATTCAAATGTGATTGAGAATCTGACTTCAGAAAGCACATGGGGGCGTGAATGGAGCACTTGGGCTCCTGCGGCCGTCCGGCAGCTTTGTTAGTCTAATCCCAAAGCTTGGATTTGGTCTAACCTGGAACCCAGCTGACCCGTAGCACACGAGTGTCACCTGCTCCCTGGCTGAATTCTTCATAATCCAGTTGCTCATTATTCTATGTCCTAGTTAATAGTGTTAACAACAAAGCTTTCCAGAAACCAAAATGCGAAATATTCAAAGGAATCGTTGAAGCTGGTTGGTAATTTAGGCACAGACTTCAGAAACTGTGGCCAAGTTCCATAAGAGCAGGCGAAAGAAAGAGAGAGAGAGAGAGACGGAAGTAGGGAAAACCAACACCCACACTCTCTCTTTATGAGGATGGAAGGACAAGACAGGAAGTCCAGAGATCCAGGGGTGTGTGCACAGTGGGCCCACCTGACGGGTCTGCTTCAAGCGGGAGAGCAGTGTTCTAACACAGCAGCTTCTTGTTCAGCACAAGACTGGGATGAGAGTGGACGTGCCCAGCAGGGCAGAGAATCCAGAGCCAAAGTCAAGAGCAAGACTTTTGGAAAAGGGGACGGGACGGGGGCACAAGAAGTTAGCTACCGGTGATAAAGATGGGACTGTTTTGCTCTTTTGTGACATGCCCGATAACCACTCCCTTCCAGAGTGACAGCAATTTGGGAGATGATGTTATTCCACTTTAGCTGAGTTCCTGCATCTGCCAAACAAATACGGGATCTAATTTATAAACCCTCGGTTTGAATTGGAGCCAGCTAGAAAATTAAATTTAAAAAAGGCATCTTGCATGGCTTATTTACAAGTATACTTCTTCAAGAAGTGATTGTTATATGTCTATTTATCTTCCCCAATCCCTCCCCCACTCCCCCCTCATCCCCACCCAAAGCAGGTCATTTTTTTTTTTTTTTTTTATAATGAAACCAAAGAGAACACCAGAGATGTAGAAGAATGGTTGTGTGGAGCTTCCTTTGCTCTTTTCCTAAAACACAGCTGCCCTGTGGTGGGTCTGCCTCTTTGCTCTGAAGGGCAAGAAGCTCCCAAGGCCATTCGTGGCGGGACGGTGGCGGATCACAGTTCCGGTTCTGGAGACGGTGGAGGACATGGGACGTCAGGGCAGAAGGTGAGGGAGAACAGCGGCAGGACAGACATCTGTCTTGTGAAAAGAGAAAGTCAGCTCCCGGCTGACTCCCTCAAGCCCAGTGGGTCCAAACGGTGAAGGCGTTATGTGCGTGTGCTCTGTCCGCATTTTTTTTCCTTGAACCCTGTGATCCCTCATGGATCCACACTGGATTTCTGTTTTCTTCCTCTGCGGAGCCCCGAGACATGTCGTCAGGCTGCTTTCTTGGGGGCGGTGGGTGAAGCAAACATGTATTCTCCCCTCGTCTCAGTACTCGGTCACCTGAGCCAGCTCGGGTGTCAAATTGACAGTAATGTTTTTATACAAGGCGTCATATGTGATGTTTGCAAAGTAGTTCAAGTTGTTGAGGCCGTCCAGCCCTTGCCGCTCTTTGGACTTCCTCAGCAACGCATACCTGTTAAGCAGAGAACAGAGGGGTGGCTCTGAGCGAGGGTCCAAGCTCCTCACGACACGGACGGGGCAGGGCAGACCACAGGAGACGGCACAACCCAAAACGATGTTCCTGCCCCACGTGGCGGGTGACTGGCTGTTCAGCTCCTCCAGGCTACACGTCATCATTAGAATTAGAAACATGTCCTATTTCATGCGAGGTGTTTTACTTACAGCATTATTTCATTTGATGTCAGCTCCTCCAGGCTACACGTCATCATTAGAATTAGAAACACGTCCTATTTCATGCGAGGTGTTTTACTTACAGCACTATTTCATTTAATGTGCCTGCCCCTTTGCAGATGAGGAAACCAAGGCTCTCAATATTAACTGGCTTTCCCAAAACCACAGAGTGGGGAAGTGGGAGGTAAGCTGTTAAACACATGGGATGAGAAAGTTCAGTCTGTATTCAGTGCCTGCTTACTCCCATGAAAACAGAGTTCACGCAGCCAGATCAACTCTCTAGAGAACAGTGCTCCCCACTACTAACAAAAGACACAAAGAGCCACTCCTGAGGACGCAGAGACGTACTCCGCCCACATGCCCCGCTCAGTCCGATCAGGAATTTCTTTATTGAACATATAGAGGGTAATAAAGCAGCTGCAACCACACAAACAGAAGCTGAGGGGCACCCTTCCAGAACCAGAGCTTGCAGAGAGGGTGCCAAACTTTTTGTCATGTGACTGTGAGTTACACAGAAACCTTTACCGGAGTGGATTCTTCCCCAACTCCCTGAAGGCTACAGAGGAGATGACAAAGCTTACGACACAGAATGAGTGATTTCCTTAAAAGATCTTACTGTCAAAAATTTTCACCAATGGTATGATTTTGCCCCCAGACGCCTGCTTCACACTTAAATTAAAATACATATAGGAACTCTAAAAGAGCTGTCCGAACAAGACCCCTGGAGAGGGGTGGGGAGCAAGACAGGGGCTGCAATGCTCGGGGACACCTGGAAGTGCGAAGCATACAGGATATTTGTACAAGGAATAAATAAACTGCACCAACCTTCCAAGAAACTGGACTTCTCCTCGGTGGTGATGAGGAATGGACTTGTACTTCCCTGCGTCACCTTCTGGCCGACTCACAGAATAGCCTGCATTCTGCACTCTGTCCAAGACAAAGAGGGTGGGCTTTTGGGTAAAATGATCAAGCCCCATAGGTGACCAAACCTATCCCGAGGCTGAAGAACCCCAAGTTGAGCAACGGAACTTCTGCATCTAAATATTCATGTTGCTTCCCCTCTGGATAAGTTCACGGTTTTAGAAAAGAAGTCTACAATACAGAAACGTTTTGAAGAAGCAAAGAAATTTGAAATTCAAAAAGAAATTCAAAATTCTTGAGGTGTGACACAGGGTCTCAGTGACAGGTACAACCACAATCCCTCTGGGACGGCTTGTTTGGGTCCTATCAAAAACATGTTCTCCCCGGTGGGCACACCTGTCTTCCATGACCTACCACAGAGCAAGTCAGCAAAGTCAGAGTCACCGTGTGCTACCCCTAGAGAGACCTTAGGTCTCCGCCCACCTCCTCCATCACCAGGGAGATGAGCTAATTTATATGATGTCCTCCGACATAGATGTAAAACTTCACAATTTATGAAAAGTCACCATGAGGGAAGAAGAATTTAGAGGAGGTGTTCGGGATATTTATTCTTAATACGATAAATATAAGGTTTCCCAGTCTGGGTTTACTGGAAACTTGATAGGACTCCAAGAAATACTCAATACAGGGAGTAGACTTCGGATATCTATGCGATATTTATGATCGTTTTCATATTTCAACATCCTCCTCGACTCCAAATTATACTCTCATTTTGATATATAGTCAGCCCTCAGTCTCTGGGTGGGGGACTGGTTCCAGCACTGGGCCCACAGATATTAAAATCTGTGGATGCTCGAGTCCCTTATGTAACATGGCATAGTATTGGCATATAATCCACTCACATCCTCCAGGATACCTTAAACCAAATCTAGCTTACTTGTAATACCTAATACAATGCAATGTAAACAGGTGCCAGCATGTGGCAAATCCAAGTTTTGCGTTTTGGAACTTCCTGGAATTTTTTTTTTTTTAATATTTTCATTCCGTAGTTGGTTGAATCCTCAACTTCAGAACCCATGGGTACGGAGGGCCGACTGTGTGAAGATGTGTTCTCACTCTCATTTGATAAATATATATGAAATGCCTACTGTGTGTTTGGAATTGTGTGGGGTGCTGGGGAAAACCAGCTGTAGGTTCCCGCACTGAGGGGCTCCTCGCTGAGCTGAGGAAAGAGCAAGAAGAGAGCTATGGCAGGTATCCTCGGGGAGCTCAACTGGATTCAAAAACCAGTCAAACTTAGTTAAATGTCTGGAAAAGCTGTTCATCCTCACTAGGTTCCTAAGAAACCCAAGTTAAAGGGATGAGATGCCACTTCTACCTAACAGACTGAGAAAGAACTGTCTGGAGCTGCTTTGCCTAACAGCAGCCACAAGCCACATGGAGCTACTACAGAGATGAAACACGGCACACATTTAAAAGGTTGTTTACATCCAATGTTGCTGGTGGTGTAAGAAAATTTGTATGCTAATGCGCTGTTGGTCAGAATATTTTTGCAATCTTTTCTGGAGGAAAATGTGACAATAACTATCAAAATTTTAAAGTGCATTTACTTCTTGGGACTTCCCTGGTGGCGCAGTGGTTAAGAATCTGCCTGCCAATGCAGTGGACATGGGTTCGAGCCCTGGTCCGGGAAGATCCCCCATGCCGCGGAGCAACTAAGCCCGTGTGCCACAGCTACTGAGCCTGCGCTCTATAGCCCGCCAGCCACAAGTACTGAGCCCGCATGCCACAACTACTGAAGCCCGTGTGCCTAGAGCCCGTGCTCCACAACAAGAGAAGCCACTGCAGTGAGAAGTCCTCGCACCGCGTCAAAGAGTAGTTCCTGCTCGCTGCAACTAGAGAAAGCCCACGCACAGCAACAAAGACCCAACGCAAACAAAAATAAATTAATTAATAAAAAGAATTTTTAAATAAAAAATAAAGTACATTTACTTCTTGACTCTGCAGTTCTGCAACTAGGAATTTAATCTAAAGATATATTTGCACATGTGAACAAAACACGTTCAAAATTAAACAATGTTCGTCGACAAGAGAGGATTAAAATAAATCGTTGTCTATCTACATAAAGAAATACCATGCAATTGTTAAAAGTAATGAAGTGGCTCTCTATCATGGTTGGAAGGGGAGAAGGGATGTGTCTGGGTTGTTTATGTATGAATACCAAGAAGTCTATAGAAAGAAACAGCTTGTTCAAATGGCTACATCCTGGGAAGGAAACAGGGTAACAATGGGGATTAAGACTTATACTCCCTGGCTTAGACACATCTGTATCATCTGAATTTTTACCAGAAAATATTATTTTGTATTAACAACCAACACACCCTTTCTTTTTTTAAAGCTGAGATAGAAAGTGGATACGAGGTAGAAATTCTTTTGGTTATTTGTTCCTTATTAGGTTACTATTTACTTACTCCGTAAAAATACTACTTTACACTACTCACACACAGGACTGTTCATACAAACTTACATAATACGAGCCTTATCTGATGGCATGGATAAATCTGTGTACACATAACTAACATCTGACCTCTGGTTTGGGGAGGTTTCAGTAAAATGTGCTATGAGTGTAAAGTACACACCAGATTTCTATGATTTAGTCAGAAAAAAATGAATGTAAAATATCTCATTAATAGTTTATATTGATTACATGTTGAAATGGTATTATTTTGGATATACTGTGGTAAATATAGTTGTTAAAATACTTTTATTAATATAATAAATTAATTTCACCTTTTTCTAACCTTTCTAAATGTAACTACTAGAACACTGAAAATTACATACATGGCTTAATACATCATATTCCTACTAGACAGTGATGGTCTGGAGAGTCTAAGGTAGCATTTCTAGAAGACATTAGAAGAAGGGTAGTACCTGTTCCACAGGTCGTCATCTTCTCCACCCCAACCCCAGAAAGCATTAGGAAAGCCATTGATTTTCCGAAACTGTTCCACTGTTAAGCCGCTCACTCCGCCAAAGAACTCAGTATAAGGAAGCCTTAAAAGGAGATGTATGGTATCAATCATCTGTGCATTAAAGGGTGACTTTTTTCCCCTAGAACAGGCCATCTCACTGGAGAACTAAGTCTTAAGTAAAACAATACTCTCTGTGCTACTGCCCTGAACCACCTGAAACTGTTTCCTCGGGACAAGACGCATCAATCTGAGAAGGTAAGTGAACTTTTTCCTAATTGATTATTTTAATAACAGCTTCATTGACGCAGAATTGACATACCATATAATTCACCCATTAAAAGTGTATAATTCAATGGTTTTTAGTATATTCATGGAGTTGTGCAACCATGGCCACCATCAATTTTAATTAATTTCATGACCCTCCTGAAAGAAGGCTTGTACCCACCATCAACAGTCACTCATTTCCCCCTATTCCCCTCAACCCTATGCAACCACTATTCTCCTTTCTGTCTCTACAGATTTGCCTATTCTGGACATTTCATATAAATGGAATCATACAACACGCAGTCTTTTGTAGTTAGCTTATTTCACTAAGCATAATGTTTTCTAGGTTCATCATGTTGTCACATGTATCAGTACTCCATTCCTTCTTATTGCCAAATAGCATTCCACTGTATGGATGGATATACTACATTTTGTTTATCCATTCATCAGTTGATTGCCATTCAGGTTGGAGCTAATTGGATTTTGCCATCTTTGCATCTCTCACCATCCTTTCAGATTTAACCTCTTTAATTAAGAGGAAATGATACTCACAGATACATATACTTATCCAGTTTAGTTGCAAAGTGCCTTGGCATCTGTCCACATCCATAATAGTTACGATCACTTTCTGGTATATGATCCACATCATGAAAAATAAGACAGTCCCAGTCCAAGTCCTTCATTGCTTCTTGAAAACCCACATTAAAAAGCATGGCTCGATTAAAGGGCTGGGTCCCAACCTAAAAGAAGCAGACCTTTATTTTTAAAAGGACTCTTGAAGCACAATCTTTGCTGCCTCAGCCCTGCCTAAGGGAGAGCTTATTGAGAGATCCTGGGCCAGGAGGGAGGTGGGTCCTGCCCAGCTCATCACTGACTCACAATCACTTGACCTCTGGCCTCGACTTCCTCGGAAATAAAAAGGGGTGATCGATAAACCCAAGCTCCTCTCTCCCAAGGCTGCTGTAAAGGCAGACAGTCAGCCATGTAACAGCATTTAGAAGGGTACCCAGCCCCATATACGGAGGGAAGAACAACACTGCCATTTCGACCTGTGGCTCCTTATCTTAAGGGGAATTTCCTGGGTCTGGAGCCTAAAGACAACACTTAAAGCAGCTCTAGCAAAACCAGCCCACAAGAGGCCTTTGTTCAGGGTAAACAAAGTTCCAGGCTGCACTCAAATCTGCTGATATTGAGCAACATCCCAAATCAGGAGCAGGACTGCTCTCTGCTCTCCTTCCTGCCACAGGGTGACTCAGTCATGAGCTTTCAGTTTTACTGGATCTTTACACCAAGCATGCATTAGCTTGAAGCTCTCTAAACTGCTGTCTCAGAAGAGAAAGAAGAGAGAAGAAAGGAACGCTTACTTGCTCCACCACATAAAACGCAAACTGTAGGCGCTGGCGCTGGAGCATGGGAATCAGGTGTCGGAGCAGGACCGGGAGGTGCTCGTGGCGGTTCCGGAAGGGGATAAGGATTGCCACCTGCAATGGGTCACAGCAAAAGAGGCCGCCCTGTTAGTCCCCTCATCTGTTGCTTTGCAGCAGGGCACTTCTGCAGAATCGGGCACCAGCTCTTGGGGAGTTCTGGGAGCTGTCTTATCCTCAGCTTCTCTAAATGAAGACCTGTGGTGGCAAGTCGACCCTTGGAAGTAAGTGGACCTCGTTCTCACATGTGCCATACCATGTACACAGTGGGCCTGCAGATGAATTTGAGACCACAACCCAGAGAAAGACATGCATTCATATTCACTGTGACCCAGTACACAAATACAGAGACATACAACAACTGAGACACGCTTCACAGAGCACCACTTCCCCTTAAAACATGCAGTGCACTTTTATATACATAAATTTTTTTTTAAATGCTGGTCACTAAATTGATTTTATAACCCAGTGATGGGCTGGAAACACTGACCTGTTCCAAACATGTTTTGATCACTGCTGTACCACAGCATCTCATAGGGCTGGCACAGAATAGGCACTTTACTAAATACTTGTTGAAAGAATGGACTTAAGCCAGTGCCATAAGCTTGATCCACACTACCGATGTCTCCTGATTAGAGTCACACAGAAAAAAACTAAACAATTCTCAGTGTCAGGCTAGATAGCTCCACTTTTTATTCCACTAGACTCATGGCAACAATGCCAAATAAGGCATGAAGCACTGAATTTGTGAAGATGGCTTCTGCAAATGCGTCACAGGAGACCTACCACCCCCTTACCCCCTGCTTAGCCAATATTCCTGTAAGGAAGAAAAAGGGTCCTGGCTCAGACATCAGAACAATGTGAATGTCTGTGGCTACAGAAGAGTCCTCAGGGAAATCCATTCCTCCAGTATGTTCCCATCAAATGCAAATATTTTGCATTAAGTAGTAAGTAGGGTGCAAACTACAAAAGGTCAGAGTGAAACCCATGATGATTCAGATGATGGCAGGTAGGCTTCCAGCACTTGGGGTCTGACCTCACCCCCTACCTTCCATCGAGGAATGCAATCCGATGGTTTCCAGTGACCTCCGAGCTTGATGGTTGGGTCTTTAGAGAAGAGCTCATGGATGGCATCCATTCCAATTTCACTCATGTTTATGGCTATGGGGCCCTCTGAACAGAGGAGGGGGAAAAAATAATAATTAAGAGGCCAGAAAATGGTAGAGTCTTATTCCTATGTTCAGGGTTGTAATCTCTGGAGCAGTTCAGTGCTTTTTCAGTGGGTTGTGTTTTTAACAGGGATGAGGGTCCCTTCCTCTGCTTTCCAACTCATTGCATTTCAGCAAATCGCTATTACTATTACTGGGTAAAGCAGCAAATCAAGAAATTGAGCCTTTGAGTTCTGCTTCTGCCAAGGGTGTACAGTAGCTGAACTTCTCAAAATGGAAGGAGAAAAGTAGCTGAGCTTGGCACCGTCGCTGTGTGCTCCTGAGGCACGTATAGACACAGTCCCAATTCATTGATCAGTGACCCCGACTGGTCACATCCAAACTCAGAACTCTCATCGTCTCGGACTCAAGTCCAGAAGAGGACTGTCCAAGAAGCCCCAAAGTACAGAAAAGGTGTAACAGTACCTTGTCATTGCTTCAGATTATACATGAGATTCTAAGAAGGAAAGGAAAGGAAAGGGGAAAAGGAAGGGGAGAGGGAGAAGAAAAAGGAAGAGAAAGAAAAGATCCAAGAATTTCCTAAACTAGCACCGTGTCAAGAAAATAACTTCCCTCATAGCGAGCAAGTCATATAATTAGTGTGAGATTTATACTAAAAGACAAAGCTGGGGGCTTCCCTGGTGGCGCGGTGGTTGAGAGTCTGCCTGACGATGCAGGGGACACGGGTTCACGCCCCAGTCCGGGAAGATCCCACATGCCGCGGAGCGGCTGGGCCCGTGAGCCCATGGGCCGCTGAGCCTGCGCGTCCGGAGCCTGTGCTCCGCAACGGGAGAGGCCACAGCAGTGAGAGGCCCGCGTACCGGGAAAAAAAAAAAAAAAGACAAAGCTGGTTGCCTACACTTTCTCTAGGACGTCTTAACAGACCCCGAGTTACAAAGGAGGGGGGCATGTGTAAAGCGAAGAGTGAAAAATGTGGTAGAAAACGGCACCAGGAACACAGGCCACCCTACAGAAGTGCTGAAGAGGAGCCAGGGCACAAGTAACTTTCATAATCCCTGTTCCCAACGGCCGGGAGGCGTTTACCATCTCTGTATAAGTAGACATATCGACAGCTCAAGAACACTCTCCCATTTCGTTTACTCAAATAAGAAGGCATCAGTTTTAAAAGCAGAGGAAGATAAGCAAGAGCTCTACTCACTCATGGAAGGGAGCCTTTCGGGGCAGGTATGGTTTGCAAAGTAGGTGAAGTCTTCAGGAAGAAAAGTTGTGGTTTGTAGGAAGGTTTCGCTGTGGTTCAAGTCAAGAGGATAATCTAGAGAGGTAAGAAAAAAAGGCAACTCAGACTGGTACATGCCATCACTCCTACAACTCTTCGATGCCTACCAAAGGAGTATTTTTCTTAGATATCATCTTTGGGGAAGGCAGGTCGCTGGCCTAGCTCTTCAGCTAAAATCTGAACCCGTCAATAAAAATGTTAACCAGATGATACTAGTTTACCAGTGTTTCTATTCTTACTGTTGTTATAGCTTTACATGCAGGCAGTTCACAGTCAAATAACCTTACAACGTAATTAAAAAAAAACACACAGGGCCCCCTCCCATGTCTTTCTCTAAAGGAACCGCTCTCACTTCCTCGCCTACTACCTCAGTATTTATCTCCATCAGCCTCTGCACACCCAATCTCGATGCTTCAGTTTTAGGTCCATCTGTTGACTTCTCACTGCGGGAGCTGAAGACTGCGCTCCCTCCCTCCCCTGCCCCCGCCACACACATCCGCTTTCCATCCTCCAGTCTCCCTCCAGTCAAATATGATAATCGTGGTTAGGACAACCTTCAGTATTTATATTATGACGATTCGATAAACACTCGCTGTAGCTGAGAAATGTGGAAAGTTATGATTACTTTTCCTTTCCTGCATAATTATTTTTTCCTGGAGCGACTGTCTTTGTTTTCCTGTTTGCTTAGTTTTATGTGAAATGATGACAACTTGACGTCATGCCCTTTGCCACTTTATTTCCCCTGAAGACAAAGGCATCAGGTCTTCCCTCAATTTCCTCTTCCTTAAGAAGGTCCAGCACCTCCGATCCAGTCCAGTTTGGACAGGCTTTCCTGTGAGCCTGATGTGCACATGCTACCCTGGGATCTCCCTTCCTCAGTGTCCTGGGGAGTCCCTTCATCTTCCTATAGTATCGAACCTCAGTTCTCCTAAGTTCAGCTTCTCCCTTGTTCTCACTTGGTAGAGCACATTCTTCCAGTAGCTTCCTAAGAAGGGGGAAAGGGCAGTGATTTTGAAACCCTGTATAGCTGATTATTTTCATTCTTCCTCACTTGATACACGGTTGGTTGGTTTTATAGAATTCAAGGCTGGAAATAATTGTAAAGGTGCTTTCCCACCGCCTTCTAGATTCCCCTGTGCCTGTTAAGTCCGAAGCCATTCCCATTCTTTATCTTTGTAAAAGGTGAAGTAATTTCTTTCTGGAAGTGTAAAGAACTTTCTCTTCAGGAAATCTCATACAGGTGTGCCTAGGCCGCCATGTCGACCTTTCGGTGGGCTTTTAAAGTTTGGAAATTCATTTTCTGTTCTAAAATTTTGGGGTGAGGAGGAGGTATTACTGTGATGATGATTTCCTCCCTTCTGTATTGTGCTATCTTTCTGGAGAACAGAAAATGGGACTCAGATGTTGGACTTCCTGGCCCTATAATTTTCTCATCTTTTCTAACTGACTTTCCATCTTGCTATTTTTCTGCTCTACCTTGAGAGATGTCCTCAATTTTACCCAGTCCTTCTTTTAATTATCATTTTCTGCTGTTAGAGTTTTTATTTCAAAGTGTCCCTTTAATTTTCTGAATGTTCTTTTTTTTTTTTTCAATGTCTTGCTCCATGTTTGCAACCCTTCTCCTCTGACCGTTGAGAACATACGTGATGGTTAAGTTTTCTGCTCCCAGCATATTGTTTCTTCCCATTTGCTGCTTCTTATTTGTTTTGGTCTCTAGCACAGTGATCCTTGGCCATCTGCTAATACTTAAGAGTGGGGAACGAAAGCTAACTGGAAGGGTCTGGACTAAGGTTCTTCACTGGAGGGTGTTCTGGCCAAAGGTTTGTTTTGGAAACCTCCAGGGTCAATATCTTTGGGTCTTTCCTCTTGGTCCAGTCAGGTTCCCCAGAGAAGTCTATTCTAATCTCCTGCCAGAATCATACGGTCTTTGCTGCAAGCACCCTAAAACTGAGGAAGAAGAAAAGGCTAGGGTACCCTAAACCAAGCCAGGCCCCCCCAGTTGAAGGACCCTCTATTTTACCATCTCTGGAGGTTATCAAGTCTCTAGTACTTTGCCAGGATGGGGGAAGGAATCTGGGTATCTGACTGCCTTTTAAACAGCTTTCAACCCACCTTTATCTTAGTTGCCACCTTTATTCTTATCTCCAAAAGTACTAGATGTTGCTGATTCTTGAGCTTCTGAGGGATTCTGGGGTATACACTGCAGTGGTTGTTGGCTTTCCTTGCTGCCACATTAGCAGTCAGTTTTCTTGGGTCCATTAAGTCCTTTATCACTGGTCCATCTGCTTTCCAACTTCCAAAATTTTTTGCTGTGGTCTCCTTTCTTGTTCTCATTTTCAGGGCTTTACGCCATTAAACACACACACACACACACACACACAACCTACTGTCATTTTAGTGACGTGTTAAAGAGTAAAGCAGAGGCCTTTTTCCTAGGGGGAGGTATGAAGGGGGTCCTCCAACCTCTTTATCTTTTGACAGATAAAGAAAGTGAGGCACCATATACACAACTCGTGCAAGGAGACCTGGCTAGTGCATAACAGAGACCCGACTAAACTCTTTCCATTACACTGCACTATTTTTTCAGAGTATGAAAATCTCTTTCACCAGTCCTTTTGGATTCATGCTGATTCTATGAAAATTAAAACTTCCTATTCACATTCACTTTGCACCCTGGAATTCTAGAATCTTCAACATGGATATTTTTTAAAAAGCACTATGAAAAGGCTTCCAAGAAGCAAATAGCTAATACAGTGAGTCCTTCTATACAGACACATGGCTGCCTATTCTACAAGTACTCGGAGGACAAAACTCAATGAGAGGCAACTTGAAGAGAATCTGAAGTCTTTTTTTATATTATGAGTATTTATTATAAATATGGCTGAATACAAGGATTCATATATATATATAATAGGTTTCATATCATCTCATAAATACAATAACATTTAAGTCTCTTAACAGGGTAGGAAAGGAACAGAATGTTTTCTGTCCTTTTTAGTTGCAGCTTTCCTGAAAAACAATAAGCTTGCATTTATATAAAGACATAAACCAAGTCAGCAAGCACACTAAAGGTAAAATTACATTTACACAGAAATTAGCCCAAAGTCCTCAGTTCACACATGCAAATCCATCCTAAGTCCAGCCCTTTCTGAAGGTATTAACATTTCAAAAAGCTATGCCAAGAACCTCCAATGCTAGTCATTACTCTGGGTGATTCTCATTTTGCTTAGTTATATACATATATATATACACACATATTTTTTTGTACATAAGATGATTCTTTTTAAGAAAAAGAATTAGCAGTTTTCATGTGTTCTAGAAAACTTGTATGTCTGTGATGTGCGCATGTGTGGAGGGAGAAGCTGGTTAGAAACGGCATCACAAAAATTATAATCATCCTCATCAGTTCACTCAGTCCCATGTCAAATATACAAATCAATTTTCACTGCAAAGTAAAGGTGCTGTTACTGTGGAGGATTCCTGGACTGAATGTCAATATTATGACATAGTGTGAGTGTGTTTCGTGTTTGGTAATTGCAATCATTGTTGCTTCTGTTGTGGTCATCCATTTACAATGTTTGGTGTCAGTTTATTTATCTCTTGTAAAAATAAAATACAGTGTGTGTGTGTGTGTGTGTGTGTGTGTGTGTGTGTGTGAAATAAATAAATACATACATACATACATACTTTTTAAGGGAAAAAAAAGGAAACGGCATCACAGTAATTAGGCAAAGAAATTCCCAGAAGTATTACAATAGGCATTTTCATAAGCAAATCAACAAAAACAGAATAATAATTCTGGGCAAAGACAGAACCAAGCCTTAGAGCTACAACCTAAGTAGGGAACAAGAAGTTAAAAAAACACGTGGGAGAGGAGACAAGACACCGTCTAACCTTAATGATCCTACTTTGGGGGTCTGTTTGGGGACACAGATAAATTCCTTTCTACTTCCTTCCAATACTGATAATATATATAATAGGCCTGGTAGTGAAACTACAAGCCAGATTGGGAATTGAACCCACTGTCTTTTTTTTTTGGCCATGCCCATAGCATGTGGGATCTTAGTTCCCTGACCAGGGATCGAACCCGCACCCCCTGCATTGGAAGCGTGGAGTCTTGGCCACTGGACCACCAGGAAGTCCCATGAACCTACTGTCTTTTAACTGAGATCACACACCTGGTCTCAGGACTTACTGAAGCTCAGGTTATGTCTCAGCACAGAAATTCAAATTCAGTGACAGACAAAGTGATAGGTAAGAAGTGGATTTGTTTAGAGATACACATTCCATAGGCAGAAGAATGCAGTCCATCGCAAAAGGCGAGAATGGCCTTGGAAGAAACACACACCACAGAGTGTGGACCATCTCAGAAGGTGCGAGGCCTCGAAATATGGGGTTGTTGTTAGTCTTTCTGAGCCGGGTAACTTCATAGGCTAACTAGTGGGAGGATAATTCCAACTTTTGGGGGGAAGGGGCAGAATTTCCACGAATTGGGCCACCGCCTAATTTGTGACCTTTTACGGTCAGCCTCGGAACTGTCATGCGCCTGTGGGTGTGTCATTTAGCTAATGTATTACGGAGAGTATATTATGAGGCTCAAGGTCTACTGGAAGTCAAATCTTCCACCATCCTGGACCTAGTTGGTTCTAACCAGTTTATGTCGTATCCCAAGGGCTATGTCATTCTTTTAAAGGCTGTGCCCTGCCCCCTTCCCTCCTGTTTCGTTAGCAGCTAGCGTGAAACAAAACACCACTTATTCTTTTCTTCTGGTTACTAAATTAATAATGTCATTTTTAAAAAAGAAAACCTGAAACACACAACTCCTAAGTGAAAGTCCTCCATAACCTTGCCCCACCGTGGAGAACACCCGCCCCCGACAAACACTAATTTCCTCATTTCTAATTTTAAATTCTTTACATAAAAATTTAAACAAAATCTACCTTTCCACTAGTAGTAGAAGCCTTTTAAACTGGAAGAGGCAGAGGAAATGGTAAAACTGTGCCTGGTTGCTCTCCTCTAGCCGCCTAGAAAGGGGGGGACTAGACTGCGTACTCTCTTCAGGGGTTCCAAACACCCATTTCTTAGTCTTCTAAAGCACGACCCTACTGAATGAGGGAACTGCTGGGAGAAAAAGCCAGCCTGCTGAATTTCTATGGTCACGGTTTTACTTTTTAATTTAAATCTAATCCATTTCGAATCAGGACATGTTCTTCCAGCAAGGGAGGCAGATGGCAAAGAAGGCAGCTGCTTTTACATTTATAACGTGGGACCACAACAGACACCCTTCCTACCTGCAGATTCAAATGGCCTGCTCGGTCAACTTTGCTTTACATCAGTGGGTCAGCAGCCTTGGCTGCATATCAGAATCATCTACGAAGCTTTTTAAAAATCCTTATGCCCAGGATATACCCCAGACTGATTAAATAAGACCCTCTGGGGGTCGGGGGTGGGGGCAGGCATCAGCATCTTGTAAAGCTGCCCAGGGGAGTCCAGTGTGCTTCCAGGTTGACATGGCTACCCCAGTACACGGTGGTGGGAAAATTCTGCTTTCTCCCTCAAATTACCAAATCCAGCTAAGCAGGGACTGAAAAGTGCTGACTAACAGATGCCAGGAAGAATCACTACTTTCTCCTCCCATTTGAGAAAAGGCCAAACCCTTGCCTCTCTGACTGAAAAGAAATATATATATATATATATATATATTAGAAAGATGCCATCAGGACAAGCATTTGTAAAATATAAAGAATTTGCATTCTTCGAGAGTTAGCACGCTTAAGGCTGACCAACTGCTGGGAGAGGAGACGTAAAGACAACTATGGACTGAGCAGCCAAAAACCAGAGAGAAAGAGGTTAAGAAAGAACATCGACCTCACGGAATAAAGTATGAAACGTACTGGCAGTGACTCTGTTCATTTTATTTGTCTATGACAACAGACCTGTTTTGAAGGATGTGGGCAACAGAATACTTTCCTGAGTATGTGACCAGAGGGGACTGAGGCCATCAGCATGGGGAGGTTTGTGTGCATGTGCACGTGAATACAGAGGGAAGAAATCTCCCTCTGGGTAAAAGTGACTGCGTAGAATGACACCTGGAAATTCGTACTTAAGAATGAGAAACGCCAGGCCACCCAACCACTCACCTCAAATATACAACTAAGTGGATGGACTGGATGAACCCAGGGATTCTCTTCTGATGCCAATATTCTGTTGAGCGTCTCCCCCACAGTGCTCTGAGTAAATTTTACAGGACTCACAATTTCCCATAGCAACGGCTTTCAGTGACAAGAAGTTTCTCCAGGTCATTATTTCAGGCTTAATTCCAGGTCACAGTCCTGGTCCCTCAAAGTACTTTCTTTTTAGGCAGTAGCCATTTTAGCTTTCAAGGATAAAGAAAGCTAGCATTACTTAAAAGACACACTAGCTTTTTAGCTACGCTTGGCCTCCTGAAGGCCTTTGAACATGGGTGTGTGCCACAGCACTTTTGCTCCAGAGCGGGGCAACACAGTTCATGAGCTACCTCAGCCCAGGCTAGTCTTACCAAACCCACGGTGCTCCTGGCGGGAGTGGCCGGGTCAGCGGTGGTGGTCATCTGGCTATCTCAGCAGCTTTAGGCCCCAAATGCTCTTTCTGACTGTGCTAGGCAGAAAATTACTTTGAAATGAATAAAAAAGTTGGTTTTTACTGGATAACTTCCAATGAAATGATGTTTCCTCTTCAACACTTACTCACCAAGGATGTGCCGATAAAATAGAACCCAATCAAGATGGTAATCTCAGAACTAGGTTACAACACTTAAAATGTGTTTTCTTGTTAAGTCTGTCTACTCACACACTCAAAAATAATTTACTCTATGCTCCTATGTGCTAGGCAGTGTACCAGGTACCAGGTGCCAGGCAGTACAAAGGCAACACAGGCAGTGAGGAGCGCTGCTGGGGTTCAGAGGTCGGCAAGTCCCAACCCCACTGCTGCAGAGAGTCCTATAACTCTGACCCCTTCATCCCTGAAAGGGGGACACAGTCGTTATCTTACTGAGTTCTTGTGAGGAGCCTATGAGATAATGCAAGCAAATCATCGACCCCAGGGCGTTTATGCTGACGGAGCGGAGCCAGCAGCGCCAGGATGGTGCCGCTGGAGAGCGAGCAGATGATGGTAGGACTAATAAACCCATTCCAAGGAAGGGTTCTGTGGAGGGCTTTGAGCCCTCAGATGACAAGTGTCCGTTAAGAGCTACTGATGGGAAAAGGAAGATCAGCACTGTGGTGAGCTCCGAAGAAGTGATTCAGTTTCAGATGGCTTGTTCAAGTCTACTGAGAGCTAACATGGATGGGCTGGAGAAGGGGGACAAAAAGAGCAAGAAGAGCAAAGCAGCGCAGGGAAGGGCACCAGATCTCCCATTTTCACCAGCTAGCCACTGAATTGCTATTTTTTCCTTTGGTTTTTACTTTGGGCCACAAAGCTGGGTTTCTGATTCCCCTACAGTAACTGTTTTCATGTGAGATTAGGGTCATTTCTGGATGGAAGAAGGGCTGTAGTATTTACAAGAAGCCAGTTTATTTTAGATCTGGCTAAGTGGTCTGTGTTGTATGGTTGTAAGTTTCTGGATAATAGTTTATAGTCTCTGTAGCTGTCTGTGGAGAGCACTGTATCATTAAACCTGTATTTATCAGCACTGACCATCTTTTATTCCTTTATCCCACCCCATAAAAAGTTTCTGGCAATAGCCCCTCATTCTGGAATGATGTGACTATGAATAGGCTTTAGGCCCTGTCTTATGGGTTACTGGAATTGAAACCTGACAATTTTATAAAAAGTTGTGTTATTTCATGGGTATTTTTCCCAACTTGCTGTATAATTTTATCATCATAGTTCCTTTAGCAAATTTGAAAGAGTTCTCATAGCCAAATTAGAGTTTGCTTAACCAAACTAAGGATAAGCCTATTACAAAATCATCAAGAATAAAGATACCAAGTTAAAAAAAAAAAAAAAATCATCTACCCCATCATAAGCAGGCCCCGACAGCGAAGACTTCCAATTTATGAGGAAGAGAGACACGTTAAACACAAAATGGATGATTAACTAGTCCAACCAGAGGGATGCGGGGAAGAATTATTTTAGTGCATGATAATTTGAGGATAAACACATGCAAATTCAAGTAACAATGGGTCCCTGGATAGGCCTTCCAAGGGTGCAACTCACTCTCTGCCCAACTTCAGGGACAATAACCCCTCAGGGAATTAGCATGACCTGTGTTGCAAGACCAGCAGTGGTGCAGGGATGGAGACCTGCTGCTCACCCTCTAACTTTGAGAGAAAACAGGCTACCTCACCAATGGCCCAGAGAGAAGCCCCAGCATCCTCTAACCTTGGAGAGGCATGAACACGTGGACCGGGTAAAGGTCATGACAGCACACATGCTCCTTTATCTGGAGTGATACAGGGGAAAGAGCTCTGAATGGCGGTCAAAGCATTCCCGAGTTTTATCACCCAACTAGAAGCAGGTTCGGGCGGGGTTTAGGGAAAGTCACATGACCAAGCCACTCCAACACCCCCAAGATTACCTGTACATGTGAAAAATGGAAGTAACAAAATCCTGCCTACCCGATGGAGCCATATCCGAGTCAAGTGAGACACTGTGTGTGGGATCATCTGTTAAAACCGAACACCACACAGGATGAATTAGGAAACAAAAATCTGCTTGGCCTCCTCCCTTGACTTCAGGAGCTGCAGGGACTCCTCTTCCAGGTACGGTACAGAGCTCAGGCAGTTTGTCCCGTGAGGCCACAATTTGGCTGAAAAGCGCTGAAAAGCTCTGAAAAGTTGATCGTTCGCTCTTTGCGAACAAGAAGAAAGGAAGTAAGTACCAAAGCTTATGGGTTTGTTAACTGTAGTGCTTGGTTGCTGCTAAACTGGCCAGCAGGGCAGACTGATAAATTAGGGCATGGTCAGTTCTTCTCAGGATTTAACTTCCCTTTCAGAGGCAATGCTTTCTCCTGATACCCCAACACCCCAGAATAATTCTCACTTGCAACGGTTGCAAAGCAATTTCACATTCTACGGTGAGCTCTGGACAATCTTAGAACTTACTAGAGAAGAAAAAAGGATTGATTTGGAGGAAAGAATATTTTTTAAAAATATACATATTTTATAATACTAGGCTTGAGTGAAATCACTGAGAAGGCACAGGGAAAGCACATTAGTCCTCAGTTAAAGAAATAAGTGGCAAATCATGAATGCGAAGCAAAATGAAATCTCAGAATCTATTTTCTAAATAAAAACCATCCCTGGCTGGAGACTGGAGAGGCCTCCCGACAGACCCATTTAACCATCTGGAAATACTTCCTCTGTTCAATGTTTGGAAGAGTTAAAAAGAGAGACATAAAAAAGACAGCCTCCTCTCAAAGGTGAAGAACTTGCTATGTACAGTCTTTTGTAAAAGTAGTTAAAGTGAAAACCATGATTCAGGACAAGTTCTTACACTATAATGTTAGGCAAGCCATCTAACCTCGATGTTCTTTTCCCCTCTTTATATACTTAGTGCTTATAAGATAATAAAAGTTACAGGTAAAAGTTCCAAAGACTGAGGCAGAAATGTTCACTCCTGGGTCCATCATTACTGCTTAGCTGAACTCCTGGGAGGAGGCCCTCTAAGCAGACCACGTCTTTACTAAAAATATACCTGAGTCATTCACGCTGCTGTTCCTCTTGGCGTAAGCACTCCGAACCACCTGCTCGTAAACCTGAGCGCCGATCGTTCTCATGTTGTCCCGAATGAGAATGCCTTGAGCCTGCATCATGAAGAGGTAGGTGTTCACTGCAGGAAACAGACGGGGAGGGAAAAGAGATTAATTCAAAAATAATCAGTAACATAAAACACACAGAAAACCCCACATAACTTTGGGTTTCTTTCTTTTTTATCCCCTTTTCTTTTTGAAACCTCTTTCAGCTCTAAAACCCTACAAATGCTGTAACTTCTATTTTCCATACTGGGTTCTACGTTTTCAGGACACCAATATTCCTTGGGTAGCTAGTAGAACTTAGGGGTATTTCTGTCCATATTCGGCAGTTTTAGAAAAACCATAAATGAAAAAAAATTATATTCTACCTGGTCTTCAAATACCCAAGCTGTATTCTAGCACTGTTATGATCAGAAAGACCTTTATGGATCAGTTAAAACATTCTGAAAAAGATCTCCGCTCTCTTTAAGTTCACATTCTCAATACTCGATCGCTATTCTCAGAGAAAGGAAACCGCCAGTTGCCCTGCCTTCTGGAAACACTTAGATGTAGGTCTGGTCCTGGCTATCTTTCGAAAGTGGTGATGAAGGTTCCAGCTATTTTTCTTTGCTTTATTTGGAGAGAAGAAGAAAATAACGAAAGAATGTTTGCAGTCCTCACTACCCACCCACCTCAGCCCCAAAGTTCAAAGCAATGGGAAAGGAGCAGGGGGCTTGGTCCAGGTGTCAGTTAAAACATATTCCCTTCATGATACATACAAATATCCAATCATTATGTTGTGCACCTGAAACTAAAATAATGTTATATGCAAGTTATATCTCAATAAAAACAAAGCGAAACAAAAAAAACCACCATATTCTTAACCATATTAACTGCCCAATCATCGTCATCTTTGGAAGCGATCTCAAGGGGCGGCACATCTATAAGTCTAAGCTCTGGCGGTGTAGGGATCATCTGAACACTTGACTGACCTCTAACAAGGCCCCAGGCAGATATGCAACAGAGAGGCTGGGCCACTCCTCCAGACTCAATACACACAGCCTCTGGGCGGTCCTGGTTCTTCAGCAAGACATATTTTGTGGACACTGTCTCATCATTATTATCACAGTGTCCTGCACATAATGGGCAGTAAATAACGACTAAATGGATGAAGCTTAGAAGTCTATTTACTTTATTTCAAGCTACTGTGTGTGGTGCTTGTACTTGTGATGGGGGTGGGGACAGGGACAAATCAAATGGCACAACTCTCAATGTGGAAAACATCAGGTGGCCCACATTAAACAGGGACATAAACTCTTTCAAAAGATTTCTAATCATCTCTAAGATAAGTCCAGAGCCGTAAAATAATTAACAAAAGAAATCAATGTTCAGAATGCTTTTAGAAATGAGGGAGCAGTTTCAGATTAGGCCCGGCTGTGACTGGAAGACAACTGCATGCTTAACTCCTGGCACTGGCTGAGAATAGATCAGATACAGTGTTTACTCTCTGTAGCAAGAAAAAGTTACAGGAAAAAAAATTAGCTTCAAATCCTTAAAGAAAGTACCATGCTGTGAAGCCTCTGAAAACAACAGTAGCATCTCATTTTCTATTTACAGCAGAGAGCACTGTGCCCGGTCATAGTAGGCAGGTAGGTAGTTAAGCCTAAGATTTAAACTTCTTCCAATATCATATTTCTAATATGGTTTTGTGCTATATTTTTTAATCACTTAGACTTATGTATATTATACATATTATATTAAATCTTCCTTCTATCCCCAACATACTGCTTAAACCAGTTGTCTTCAATAATAGAGAAACAGGGGCTTCCCTGGTGGCGCAGCGGTTGAGAGTCCGCCTGCCGATGCAGGGGACACAGGTTCGTGCCCCGGTCCGGGAAGATCCCACATGCCGCGGAGTGGCTGGGCCCGTGAGCCATGGCCGCTGAGCCTGCACGTCCGGAGCCTGCACGTCCGGAGCCTGTGCTCCTCAACGGGAGAGGCCACACAGTGAGAGGCCCGCGCAATGCAAAAAAAAAAAATAATAATAATAAGAGAAACAAATATTTATTGAACATTGTGTGTAAAGCTGTCAGTTAGGCACTGCAAAAAATACACTACCTCTTTTCTCCCGAATTTCATCTTCTCTGAGCCTTTTATCTCCTACACTGTAAAGGGCACTGTTGTTAGCCCCTCTTTTAAAAATTCCCTCCCTTTCTTAGTTCTGTAGGATTCCTCTAGGGCTGTTCTCAAACCTTTCCCTGCCTACTGCCTGGAGAGCTTTCTGAAGCCTGCTTCTACGCCTCCCACCCCCAGAGACCCTGATTAAGTAAAGTCTGAGTGGGGCCCATGAATTTGCACTTGTAACAAGCTCACAGGTGATACCAGTGTGGCTGGTCAGAGGACCACACTTCCAGAACCAAGGCTCTAGGGAGACTTCAGCTACCTAATAAATAATAGTGAGTAACATTTATTGAGCACTTAATTACCTAATTCTTTATCTCGTTTAATCCTCATAACCTAAGAGGCAAGTAATACTATCCAACTTAGAGTTAACTTCTAGGCTTCAGTTTCTCCACCTTGCTTCACCAAGGTCACTGAGGGATGGATTTGAACCAGGTGGACCTACGCTCTAACCGCTGAGCTTAAGAACTTGCTCATCCATATTCTAGCCACAACCTGTCCCTCAAAGACTTCACACACTCACATGACTTAAATGATTGCTCTTAAGGAGATAGCTCTCAATTCTTTATCTCCTACACAAAGCTGCCAGGTGGATCTTTCTTTTTTGTTTGTTTTTTTTTTTTTGCAGTACGCAGGCCTCTCACTGTTGTGGCCTCTCCCGTTGCGGAG